AAGACCATGGGCTGAGCACTGGAGGCACCCAAGGTCACCAAACAATCCCAACCAGCAAAGAAGAGAGGTGAAGTCAGCTCTGGACATTCAGTTATGGACTTCAGACAACTTTATGATCAGACCATGTTTTCTGGAATTTGCCTCCAATCCTATTTATTTTGGATAAATGGTCCTAATCCTAGGACTATTTTGGATAATTTACCATTGAAGAAATAAGCACAGTCCAAGGCCTGGAGAAAGCTCTAAACCCAGCAGCATCAAAAGAGTCTAAATGTCTGTCTTAGCTGAAAGACGTATTTGAAGAGTCACAGGCTACCTGTTTTAAAGTCCTTTCTGGTGAAATGCAGAAGCTCTTACCAAGCTTTCCTTTGTGAAGGTCAGCTGTGCCTAGAAATTTGGTATCTTCACAACTGAGTGCCACTTAAATATCTTAGCTCTTATGGAGTTAAGACATTTGTGCTCCAGAATTTCAGACGAGCAGAAAGACTTTTTGGTAAGAGAATGTCGGAGGACAATTCCCACTTCTGGCCAATTTGCCCTATCAAGGGCTTACCTCTTTCTGAGTCTGTCTGAGGTACCTCAGCATAAGCAAGTTTTAAGGTATTTTTTGTTAAAAAGTTATATACAGAGGCTGAGGCTTAAATCTCCTCATAAGCCTCCTACTTTCCAAAATAACATTTTGCACAGTTAACATGCCTCCAGAAGGTTTACGTTTAAATCTGAGCAAAAAAAAAAAAAAATCTATATCTCATATCTATATATCAATGCATATTTTCTCTTTTCCATAATATTTCATAAGTCTACCGACTTAGCTTATAGTACAATGCTTTTATTCACCATTTTCAGTGTTTAGATAAGCAAGCACACCCAAGCACTTTCTAACTGTTCATGTGACACCAACCATTCAGCATTTGCTGTGACACTTGACTATACACAGCCTTCCTGGAATCAGTAACAACAGTAGCAAATCTGTCCCATAATGAAACAAGTGTTCTTGCACACTCTTGTCAGCTGCAACCACACACTTAAAGCTTCCCCTGTACCTCTAAAAAAAAAGTCCACCACCAAACCCACAAAATAAAATACATTATCTACCTTCTCCTAATAAATCCTATGTTGAATGTTTTCATAACTCATCAGAACATGTGTTCACTAACACATCCCCTGATCTGATCCTACACACCTCTTCACCCAGACAGACCTAAATGCTTACCGTTACTGACAAGAGCTTGTACTTTTGAAATCACCTGCAAAATCCATTCCTCTCATTCTGACTTTCCTTTGATCCTCACCACTCAATATTGTAGCATAAAGCATGAATTTACCCTTTAGATTCTAGACCAAAGCAAGCACACTCACAGGATCAAGGCACAGGACTGCAAGACTTCCTTTCTTCCCATCAGCTTCCCAGTGCACACACCAGGAGTGCTTGCCCTGAACTTTGGGTTTCAAGGGGATTATGCAACACTTTAAAGCAACAATTATTAGCCTATAATTTAAAAGCAAGCATTTATTGCAGAGCTACTACTTTTAATCTAACACTTACAGTCTCACATCTATGCTAACATTCTTAGAATTCACTTCTGATGGCTTTAGTTGTTTCTCACGCTTTCACATCTCTGCTTTCACACCAGCCATGACTGCAATTCTGCCCATGGTGTCCTTCTCTCTCATTTGCATTAGTCCTTGCACAGATCAGTTCTACTTCCAAAGGAAGCTGCATCTCCCAAGCCTCATAAGTTTACAGAAAACACAAGCAGGTGGGCAGAGCAACTTTGAAGTTTATGTCCATTGCTACAAACACGTCTAATAGCCTGATTCACACTGAACTTAAACCAACTGCCTGAGAAACCAAAATCTTCTAAAGGCTCCAGTCTCCCTCTGCCTAGGGAAGGGAAAATTGGTTTGGAGCAAGTTTGTTTTCAAGCTCACCAACCTTGACAATATTTCATGACTCTTATCCCACAGCTTATTTAGGATTGTTTTTTCTTCCTATTCAACTTGATGACAAACTAGTTTTGATGTCTGTATTCAGTTTTTCTTTCTTGCATGTTAGTCAGCCTCTCTCCATGAGAAACCAGATACTGTACTGAGTGGTTTTACACAGCCACTGTTTTCATTAATATCTGTGACTTCACAATACTTAAGAAAAAAAATTACACAGCTACACAGCAGTATAAGCTCTCCTTGGAAAAATATTCTCATGGACTTAAGGGTGAAAACAGATTCAAGATGTGTCAATAATAGTGTTTATGTATTTTAGGGGTAGTAAAACTAAGTAATAACCTCTGTGCCTATTTTAAATGTAATTAGATCCTGAAATGTCTGCAAAATCTCAGGATTATTCAACAGGCAGAATCCTGGCACACTAACACAGTAGTAGAGAAAGGAGTAGGTTCACTTTTCATTGAAGGAAAAGGTGACCTTGGCATGAAATCAAGATCTGCGGGTGGCAGCTTCAAGTCTGAATTTGACAGAAAAATAACCATCTCACCTACCCAAAAACTACCAAAATAAGCAATTCACTATTAAAAAAGCAAGTATTTGGCTCAAAACAAGAAAGAAATTAAAATACATTTAAGTCTTTAAATTTAAGTCTTGCAGTGAGTTGTAGGAGTGGTGGTACTCTTAAAGAGCCCAGCACAATCCATTTCTAAAGGATACAAGACATGACATTCACTTAAAAGAGGAGACTGACATGACTGTCTAAGTTATTATGGAGCCAAAATCTTCATGCTCAGGTTATACTTAAAATAGAGAATGAAGCCATTTTCAGATATAAGTTTCTTTTTAACAGCAAAGAACATTTCAGATCAGTTCTAAATTTAATCTTAACCTAGGGTATTCAAATGTCTCAGAGGACATTATTTATTCTTCCCCTCCTAACTTTAGCAATTTTAACTGCCTTAATCCAAGGATATAGTACTAGCTATATTCTGCACCTCCCATGCTGCATGCCCAAGCCAAAGCTTGCACTTGGATGGCTGTCTAAAAAGACTCCTTTGAAGTAATTTAGGATCCCCAAATCAAAGTATCTTTCTGCTACATGATTGAGCATGGATTCAGTTCTTTCTCTGCAAATAGAGACTACCTGGGCCAAACCAACATATTATACCTCAGAATATAGAATGCCTTGTTTCCTACAGGCTCAGAGCATCACTAGAGCAAACCCTGTCAGCCACCAGTGCATGACACAGATTTGCCTGTCAGTGGCACACAAACAGCTGGTCCCAGCAGCATCTACTGGGTGTTTGGCCAGGTAAAGCCTCTTCCACAGGGGACCACTTGTGTTGGGAGGGACAGATGTTCAAGGTGGCTAGGCATTGTTCAAGGGATTTGCTCAGCAGTTCCCTTCAATGGACATCTTAAGAGGTTTTATAATGGAAAACTAAGTTTTAGAAGAGCTCAGCCATTTTCTTCTTTTTTTGTAAAGATTACTGGATAAAATTCTCTGGCAATAACAGCAGCACAGAAGAAGGCAAATTTACCATCATTTCCCATTAGCTGATACTTTGGCTACATTTTTTAAGCCATTAAGCATGCTACAAACCAAAACTGTTATTTTTCTTCCAGAAAGGATATATTTCAGCCCCGTATTACACTATGCCATATTTTAAATTAAAGCTGATAGAGTTCAAGGCTAGACCAGTTCAATAGGCTAATAAACAAAGAGGTCATTGGACTGATAGTTTCATAGCCTTCATAACTTTAGAGTTAGAACAGGAGGGGAGGAAAAGGAAGAAGTCAGATTTAGCCAAAAGCAGGCAAGGATCAATAAAAACTTTCACCTCCTTCCTCATGTGACCGCTTCCTCCCATACTCTCCCACTAACCCTACACTAGCCAACCTCATGTTTTGTTTGCTGTCTTTACACAGCACTCCACATAAGGCATCAGGCTTAGAGCTGCAAACTCAAATCTTGTTCATCCCAAAACACCATGGCTATTCCAATAATTCCAGCAATGGACTGAAGCCATATTAAATAAAAACACCATTGTGCTTGAGAGATAACTTTAGTACTTCCGTAAAGATCTAAATTGATATGGTCAAAGACACTGCCACAGAGCAACAGACATTGCCTAGAAGACTGCCCTTCAGCTGAGGCATAAGTTTGCCCACTTATGCACAGACCCCTGGTTCACAGAAAGCCTTTCAGCTTACAGCTCATGCTGAACAAGATTAACCAGGACCAGCCATGGTAATGACATACAGCAGAATCCTGTAAGTATACACAAATGTATCAAAAACATCCAAAGATTGACAAGACAAAATAAAGATTTTTAAATGAATCATACCATGTGCAAAAATTACAGCTTTTACAGGCAGCAGCTTTAAAGGGTCACTTTTGTAACAGCCAGCATCTGAAGCACTGATCTAAGTTCCACTCAGATCAGTGCATCACTGAATTGCTCAGCTGCTGAATTTATCCTCAGGTTCAGTCAGAACTCAGAGGTCTCAACACATGATTCAGGGAACAGATATGAACTAATGTCTCCAGGTATTCAGGAAAGAAGCTCCAGTACAATATGTCACCTATTTGTCATGTGTGACACCTACACACAGCAATTTTTTTTTTTTTGTCTTTGCTGACTGTCAGTGAAAAGATATTGTGAATTCTATTTTCAGGATTGACACCAGCCTGAAGGAGTCATGTCAGCTAGCAAAGCCAACTTTAGTTGTAGCTTACATCTGCTTTTTTTGGTGAACTATAATTCCTGTCATTATGAACCACACATTCCTAAACAGTGGCTGTTACTAAAAAACACATCTATACATGCACTACGTTTATCTTCCTTTTAAGATCATTATATATAATTGCCCTATGAAGTAAGTACAGTTAAACAAAAACAAACAAGGTTAGTTAAAAACCAGGTGTCTTGTAGCTCAAATAAACAGCACAGAAAGATTATTCTACAGTTCAACCACCTGAGTCACACACTCCAAGGGTGCACCAAGGATATTGAAAAGGAAGTCTCCACAATTACTGGTTGCAGACCTACCACAGTGCCATGGGTCCCATCCACACTGCTGCTATATTTCTGGGGTTTCACTACATCACCATCATCAGCATCAAAGTTAGTCTTCCACACCATCACCTGCAGAAGAAAGTTAACTCCATTAAAATTTTCCATCTAAGTTTGCTTATAGGTCATTTTTTTCAACCCTTCAGAGAATAATCAGCAAATCCACAAGAAGTTTCCATAGAAGAGCTTTGCCATTGATTAAATTAAGGATGTTGTTTGTAAATATGCTACTAAATACAGACAGTTTGACTGAGTTCTCAATGGATAATTGACCCCTTTCAGCATTCTTTGGGTCAAGAACATCATTAAACTAGAATGTCCAAGAGAAGTTCAAAGCAACATGAAGAATACACCATTAAAACCACAAATATTTTAAAATACCATGTTCAGCATTTTAACATTTATCAGCCACACCCCAACTCAGTCACTCATTTATCATGAGACTCAGAGGAAAAGGAGAATTAGTACTAAGACCAGCATTACAGATCTTAAGCTGGTTTGTCAGCTGGATACCAAACTTAAATCCCACTTATAGGCTTCTGCTTTCTGTTACACAGTACTGATTTCAGAAAAGAGGCCACTTCAATACACCAAGAGGAAATCCATGGAGTGAACCCCTCAGTAGTGACTCTACAAGTCTAAAAAAGTTAAAGAGCAATCAATCAACAATTTCAGAGGTCTGAAAGACACCCAAGAATCCAGACAGCTCATTTGGTTATCAGAAGGAGCATTTATTCTTCATTTACAAATTTGCATCACTGCTTTGCATGAAATACAAGCATTTTTCTTTCACTGTTGCACAGTTAACCAATAAGGCCATTCCACTGTGCAGCAGGCAAAAAAAGTTATATTCTTAGTGACTAGACAAATCTGTCTTTTCACAACGGTGCTGTTAAAGATGAGCATTGCACCTGGTCCAACCTGGAGATTAAGATCAATGCAACACAGCTCTTTAAAGACTGATGATCCTTACTCAGCCCACTACTTTGGGTTGAAGTCTGTCTGTATCTTCAGCAGGGCAACTCACTGTGCTAAAATCAGGACATCTTTGCAGCACAGGCTCATGCAATGGGCCTGTTTGCAGTTTGGCAATTGAGTATGGGTTTCTTGGGCTACATGTCTTACATTACTAACCAAAAAAAATGGGTTTGACCTCCAGAGATGTTGCTAATAGAACATCAAGTTGCTTCAGCATGGTCCAGACATACTGGATAAAGGGTACACTTTTGCTTTCCCCATTGACAACAGAGAACAAATAGCATCAGCTTTTAAGGAAATGTGAATCCAGATTATAACTCAGAAATTAATCAGGTACCTGTTCATCAGAACCTCCAGAAGCAAATAATTCTCCATCTCTTGAAAATGCTACACAGGTAGCTGGACCCTGCAAATTCATTTAAAAGATAGGTTTAAAACAATGAAAATGAAGTGTTACAACATTCCATTCATTACCACTTTACAAGGTATTTATCATTTGACATCAGCAATCTAAAGGCAAAAATTGAAAAGCTCTTACCTGTCAGGTAAGTGGGCCGTAATTAAGATGTTAAGCTTGCTGGCACTTACCATTTCCCACACTTTTGACCCCAGTTTAACACATTCACTTTTCAATATCCATGGCAGAGACAGAAACAAACCCATTTTTACATCACCAGGCTTTTTCTTATTCCCCTCAAACATTCCCTCCTAACTTTAGAATTAGAAGTTTCTAAAACTCCTGTTCATTTATTAAAAGTGTTGAAACTATGAGGTTTTTGTATAGTAGGTTGGCTTAAACTGCTTTTCTCTTAGTCTGATAGGAGAGATGCCAGAGTTAATGCATCCAGGATCACCTCTGCACATCACTTGCATTTTGAAGAAGCCTCATGCTTAAAACACTCAGTTCTGAGAGCCTTTAAATGCTTCTGAGTGCTACAGCACACCTTTTACATCACACACCTATTTCAATGTGATTTCCACCTTCCAGCAAGAACACAGGAAGATGCACATGGCAGGCTGAGGCAGGAGCTGAGCTGCAGTTAAACACAGCAGAGGAATTGCTACGGGTGTTCGAGCCCAGACACAACAGACAAACTGTTCTGCTCAGAGTAAACAGCTGAGAACCCAGACCATGGAGTTTTATGTCAGCTGCTGAACACATTCCTCTGCAGACTGTTCAGCAGCATGGGCAGAGGTCAGAATGAGAACTTCCAGAGGCTGCCTATGGAGCTGACAGGCTGGGGAGGGTTGGGAGGAAACACTAAAAATAAATACCAAAAACAACCAGAAAAGCCACAACAACCACCAGAAATCTTCCCCACGTGATCATCCACCTCCTGACAGAAGCAGTTACCATATTTCAAGTAAGATAATGTATCTCAGAAGGCAATTAAGGAGCTTCTCCTTACCCAGTTGGAAGGAGACACAATTCTGAGTCCACATCTTTCCAAAGGACATTGCATGAAAATCTTACACCCTTTTTCTTTGCCTTCTTTGTAAAAGTGAATTCAACATCACAAATCCTGAAGATAAACAAAAACCCCAAGATTGCATGTGAGATAAGCACCCAGCTCTCACTGCAACCTGAGCCCCAGAGTCCTGTGGGCTTCCAAAAGTGCCGGCACAAGGTTATGGCAGCAAAACCAGAGCCTTGCTGTGCTCAATCCCAATGTGAACAGTTTTAGCTTCCTTAAAACACATAAAGGTGTTTCCATATTATCATTTAACATGCAGTCATTTCAAAGTGTTTTGAGGCCTTCCCATAGCAACACCTCACTAGAGAGGATGTGCCAGGAATGATCCAGTAGCAGCAATTCCAAACCGCACGCGCAGTCGTTGGTGTGACTAAGCTCACTCACATGACACACCAATAACTAGGGGAGATATTTCAGACCAAAGACACTGCCATCAATCAGCTGAGACAAACTGTGCCTCTGCCTTTATTCCCACCCACCTACCCCAGTGTTCAGCTCTCTAATCACGTGTCAGGAATGGAGGCTCTAAAAAAAATGCAAGAGCAAAAGACAAGCAGTAAGAAAGTGCAGAAACAACCCCACAGCCAGAAAACTGCATGGGTGAATACTGATCCAAGATAACAGAGGTGAGCATACAGAAGCTGCTCTTGGACTATAATAAACCAGTCAGAGTTAGAAGGGCAGAAAAAAGTTTAAGACAAAGTGTTCAGGAACAAGCACAAGCAACGAATACTGGAAAGGAACTGTGTTTCCTAAAAATATTTTTATCAGTCTAAATATTTCAGTCTATTTAGACAAAATCTAGTACAACACAAATCACATTAAAACAGGCAATGAACTGACTCCAAAGTCATGGCATTCTGAAGGGAATAAAAGTTCAACAGAACATATTCTTCCCAAAATAGAAAATTATATCAAAGACTGAATGTGCCTTTATAAATTGAAAGAAAGGGAACAAACAAGTCTAGAGACGCAACATCCTCTACAGATTTGTTGACATAAGTGAAAAGTATTCCTGCTACATACACTCCAAGAACTCTTCCAAGATACAACAGGTTTGCTATAGCAACATACAAAAAACCAGTTTGCCAAATACCCTTGCAATTTAATATTGACACACCAAACAAAAATAAAAAGCTACACTTGCCAGTTATTAGACACAGTCTAACTTCCATTTATCCCAGGAAAGCACAGCAGAAATCCAACAGATTTCTGATGAAGACCTGGGTAACAGACATGAGACTGGAGAATGAAGAATTCAAACCTTTTTTAACTTATTGCTTGCATTACAAGTATCAAACAGTAGCAGTTTCATTTTCTTCTACAGAAGTTGTAGAGAGAATTTTAAGCTTATTTCCCACATAACTAGACCTTGTGGGATGCAGCAACCTTCTTCTACTGGATCTGTAGAAGGATCTCACTTTCTGTAGCAGGAATAAATGTCCCTCTATTAGTATTTCCTGGAGGTTCAGAATTTCCAGTCTGAACCCCCATGGCCCAAGGTGCTCCACACAAGGTGCTATCACAAATCCCCAAATTCCAGCAGCTTCCTGCCTCAGACTAGACAGCAAGCTGCAGGAAGAAGGGGTTGGGCAATGACATACACCAAGTCAGTGATAAGGAACATTTCTATTTAATCCTCAGCTGGTCAACGTCGGGACTGTCAAGCTTTTGTGCATGTCTAGTACAGTTTGAAATTATAACAGCAACTTTAGTGATACTGGGAGAACTGCAGGAATTTTGAAGAAAATACAGAAGAAAGCAACAAGTCATCGACTGAAATTGCTTAGTGAGAAGAACATGACCACTAATCAACATTCAATTCATCTCCTCTAGTGAAAGAGTACCAGGCAACCTAGAGGGAAGTACCAGAGAATCTTGAAAAGGACAAATAGCTCAAACACTGAATGGAGCAAAGCAACCATAAAGCAAAAGGAAGCCATAGAGAAGGAATGATAACAGCATCAAGCCTCATTGTTTGCTGCAGCATTCCCAGTGAACACAACTCGGGCAAGGTCAGATATGCAAGGCATGGCAGCTGAAACACCGGGTGACAGTTCATTTCTAGCTGCTTTCATAGGTGAGAAAGGTGAGGCCCAGCAAGTTACATAATTTATGTGCAGAGATAGAGATTGCACCTTCTGCCTAGTTTCCCACTTCCTACAATGGAGGTTAGTGACTGCAAGGCCTTTATTGTCCTAGCATTTCACAGGATGATCAGCTTACATAGCTTACATAAAACATTATGTTTGGCCTTCAAATGACTTGAATGCATTAATCGCCAAGAGAGACAGGATCTGAAGCCAGGACACAGATTACACCACCAAGTGACTGGCAGGATGCTAATAGCATCAGTAACAACTGACACAAGGGTGACATAAGACAACAGGAATAGCATCCCTAAACACAAAGCTTTCAAGGGTAGAGCTAAAAATAGATGTCTCTGAAAGAAATACTTAAGAGAAAGTCCAAGAGTTTACTCTGGAGAAATATGACTGAAGCCCAGAGTAACACCTGCACACAGGCAGCAGATGAATGCGTACCATACATAAATAATGCATGGACAATCACAGAGAAATCCCTCTTGAACACCCTTTTCTTCTTCCAGAGCTGCTGGGCACAGAAGGCACAACACTTCAACAACAGCAGGGCCAACACCAACAGGCAAGTCAAGAGAGGCCAGACTTTTAGGCTTTAGCTAGGAACAGAGCTAACATTTCAGCTTCAGCATAACAGAAGAAAAAAGAGCCAGGTTGAAGAGGGTCCAGGAATAAACCAGAGAAGAGTAGTTTAATGATGCACTGTCTGCACTATGAAAGGAGAGGCAGTGTGGAAGGAAGTTGGAGAGACAAGTGGGGTCAAGGATGCTAGCAGATTTTTACTTTTTTTTAATTCAGTCCTGTGATAAACTAATGCATGGTAGAGAAAAGCCAGGTAAGAGAGCAAGGAAAATGCTAAGAGCTGGAATAAGGCAAATCTAGAGGATGCAAACAGTTGAATTAAAGGAGAGCTTCCTCTTCCACTGCTACAAAATGAGATGTAAAAGTGGGAGCCAGTACATTTAGCTAAACTCTCCAGGAACAGACTAACTAGTGCAAAGAGAAACAGGAGACATAAGAGGAGACAAGGCCTGAGAAGCAAATCCAGCAGCAACCAGCACACTGGGATCCCAGCCCTGGCATCATCAGTTCTAGGCATAAAAGAACTAAGAATAAACAATAGAGCAGTCACTGCCACTGTTGACAGTGCTTTCAGCTGCTTCATGCATGGGAGAAGAGGGTAAGTCACATAGGAAAGGAAGAAGGGAAGAGAACCAAAAAGAAAAGCACAGGGAACAGAGATGGCAATGACAACAGGAATGTTTTCAGGTGGAATACCTCTGACAAGATATCCCAAGGATTCTCAGTACACTGGGCTTTGAAAAATTCCTAAGCAAGACTGTCATGTTTGCATCCTCCTTCATCAGGGAGTAAGAGCTACAACTAACATAGGGAAAATTTATACTGGCATCTTACAGGTGAATCTTCAGCAGCTTTAACGCCTGAAAGTTTCGGTCTGTAAAAACACAAGGCAAGGACACAGAACTCACATTTCCTTTCAAGATTCTGAAATGCTACCCTAAAGTCAATTGCTTGTTGTTCGCATTTCTTTCTTTTTTGTTTGATTTCTGTGTAGCTCAGAGAGGCCCTCACACTCTTCAAAGAGGACAGGCCTGTACAGATGTTTAATGCTACCTAGGCAGAACTGGAAGCTGACAGTAAAAGAGCACATTTGTTTCCTATGCACCTGCTCAGGAGACCTCACTCATTAGTCAGTAAACAAAGCAGGGAGCATTGATGTTGCCAAGGTAGGTAGAATGTAGCTACTTCATAGTTCAAGTCAAGGCTCCTTGAAAAATTGTAACTTTGCATTTTCTGTCTTCCTATTTAAGAACATAACCATGAGATGTTTTCTAAATATTTACTGAAAACTTCCATTCCACTGAGGAAGTCAGTCTGGAAATGCTCTAATTAAACCACTCCAAAGGGCAGACAAGTACCATGTACATACCTGCTCTCCTCTAGAAACTCTCTGGGGGTGGCTTAGAGGCCTCAAAACATTCTGTTCTTCAAGAGTGATTCAGTACTAGAGGTGGATTTACATACCAAGCCAGTGTCTCATCTGTATGGAATTAGATAAGAGCACTTCACAGCTTGAAACACTCCAGAACCAAAATATGCAGCACAATACAGAATATTTTGCAGCTGCAAGATGTCAGCTCCAAGCTCCAAACTTCTGTCTCTAATGAGCATTCTGCTACAAGGGGCCAGCTACATTTCAATTAAAGACAGTAATGTAAACTTGGCCAGCCTCCCCACGTAAACTACAGCAAACCAGCTGCTAACAAATTTCTGGCACTCCAGTAGTTGCGTCAAAGTATGTCTAAAGGACCTTAGGGTTTTTTTCCCTTCAAGGGTCCACTTGCATGCAGCCTTCCCAGAACAATGTAACAGCTGTCAAAGTAGGAACAAAGTGTCAACCAGAACATTCAACCTCAAAAAGTCACAACTCGGGAACATCTTCAGAACAGGCTGCCCATCTGGTGACTAACCTACAGCACTCACTTATAAAAAGGCAAATCAATTTAGTTACTAAAAGTCCACACCACTTTGGATTTAGCCACTTAGGGATACTGGCACAAGTCACAGTAATAACAGAGGGGACAAAAAAGTCCCTGGTTATTAAGTAACCTGGATTTATCTATGAGTAGAACTAGCTGGAGAAGCAGCCCTGGCACAGCATGTAGCCACTGACAGAGGCTTACTGGGAACCAAGCACAGGTTGGCATATGCTTTTAGTGGAAAAGCAAGGTATCTGTTCAATCAGGCAGTAAAAGAACCAACCCACAACAATACAGCCCATGCCAGACAGGGAATGCCAGGCAGGACTGTGCCAGGACTGGTTCCACAGTGCAGTACCCTTAAAGGCAACCAGAAAGTTCTACTAACCACTTCAATACTTGCACTTGTTTCCAAACTGAAGAAGCTGTAAATGCCACAACAGCAGCTACTCTTCAGCTGTGCCAAAGGCAAAGCTTTTCCAATGCCAGTTAAGATGCCCAGGAGAAAGAGGCAGACACTGTTTTACTGATCTGAAGCAGCAGGGAGGAAAAACAGGGAGCTTTAATTTTACTTTTGAATAGATGTTCCACAAACTGTTCTTTTAAAGCCTCAAGTTAAGTACAACATTAGCCTAAAGGGACTTTCTATTGCTCATTCTGAAGACCTCCATCACCATAATCAGTTTTGGACTCTCATTCAATGCTAAACTCTGGGGTTTTTTTGTGCTACTGCAGTCAGTGAGGCACAGCCAGCAGCTCAAATGGGAGAAAATGGAAAGCAGGTTCAGCCTCCTGCTGAACCATAACCAGGCACATCCCTTCCTGAGGGAAGGGGGTGAAGTATAAAGATTTAAAGATTTTCTGCTCTTCCAACACTTAGCATTTTCCAGGAAGCTTCTTCCCAGGAACTCATTTGTCAGATTAACACAACAGACAAATATGAAAACAAGATTATGGCAACATAAGATTTGAAGCCTCCATCTGATAGGAGTAGCCACTTAGTCCAGTCATCCAATAACAGTTTTATACAGCAAAGGCTGACAGGATAACCAGCATTTGTTATCTCCTCCCCATTCTTTTAACAGCTGAACCCTTTGGTCAATTTTAATCAAAGCTCTACTTCATGAAGGATTTAAGTATAAGGTTTTCCTATTTTTTCCATTAATTTTACAAAAAAAAAAAAAGAAAATTTTATTAATATATAGGAAAAGAGAAGTTACAGAAGAAACTTGATCTTTTTAGACATCCAACAAGGCAGTCACTAAACAAAGCCACAAGAAGACAGAATTATCACATATACAGCTTATACAGATACCATTATTGCCCACAACAATCCCCATCATCTCCAAGAAGCTTCAGGCTGTGGTTTTCCCCTGACAGTTTTTATGCTTTAAAACTCAGCCTCCACTTTAAAAGAGACACAAGCAGGTTAAGAATTTCTGTTCTCTTTGTCCCTTTAGAAAGGGATCCCTTAAGGCAGTCCTGCTTTTTCACACCCCAGTCTACATGGACAATGAAATGAGTCCATTTATTTTAATTTAAGATTTAGAAAGAGAGCTACAAGCATTCATAAAATTAACCTTACAAGCAACAAATCCAGCAGCATAATACGAATAGGCCAATCAGTTAAACTTAACCAACCAGCACCATTTTTCACCTTCAATTGTATGATTCAGTCCGTTAACAAGATGTTCCCAAATCAAGTCCCAAAATAGATATCCTCTATTTTACTGCTACTCTTCTTGAGTCTCCTGCAAGGTGAACAGCATTTATCTTCAAAACATCTATGTCAGGGGGTCAAGTGTTATTTGAAGCTCTCTAGAGAGGGAGGGAGACAGAGCTGCACTAGAGAGTAGCTGACAGGGTCAGTCAGAGTCAAGGGTCCTGCTCTGACTGCCTTCTGCCAATCCTCAATACTGGAGCTCACTTTTAGTCTTGCTTTCTCATTCTCTCCATTCCTGCCTTACCTCCTTCCCTTCAAAACAGTGATGATCTCAGAAATTATTAGCATTATAATAATAATTTTACACAAGGAAGCTTTCAAACAATTTCTGGTCATGAAGAATGAAAGTCTCAAGCATGCATTTGCTCAGTTTATTATGAGTCTGTACATTACTGTAAAAAAGGCTTTGCCTCACCTGGTGACCATGCAGAGTATAGAGAAGTCTTCCTTCTAACAAGTCCAGAATCTTAAGAGTTGAATCACTGGAAGCAGTAACCAGATAGTTTCCAGAGGGATGAAAGGAAAGACTGTTGACCACAGAGCTGTGCACTAAAGATGGGAAAAAATGTATAATAGTCACCAAGAACAGTTTACATAAGCCCAAGGCAAAAGAATAAAATAAAGCACAAGCACATTGCAATTTTCTGTTATAAAATTTAACAGGAAAATTATCATGGGGGAAACATTCCACAAAAGCTCTTCAAAGCACTGGAGAACAATAACAGTAACTCAGTTCTTGTAAAAATAGGCACTACTTTACTGAAAGGAAAAAGGAAGCTTTGCCAATTATTCTGGGAGATTTAATGCTACAAAAGCTTCCAGTATAGCCCCAAAATGTACTGTATGTGCAAGTGAAGTACAGGATTCTGTGAGAGTGCTGGACATTGATGTACTTTACTACTGTTGAGGTGCTGGTCTCGCTCTCAAGTCATTCTAGATTAAAATCTGTATTTTAGGACACTGAAGATTGAAATTACAATGGAAGACATTTGGAGTTGATACTGCACAACATCTTTTGGTTTATTATCTGACTTTAGCCAAGACTGGGGTTAAGAGAAACTAGGAAATAAGAGCAACTTGAAAATGGTTCAGTATAAGCATTATTTCCTCAGACATCCTATTTGTCTCACCAAAAATTTAAAGCAAATACAAATAGACAAACCATAAAAAGTGTGAAGTTGCAATAAAGCCATTTTTCCTGCATGAAGATGAAGCCAAAGATTTATTCTGCAAAAAGCTAAAGAAAATGTTCTAAGAAAAGTCAAACTTCACTGAAGTTCTGTGTAACATTAAACATCTAATATATGACTTTTTTCCCTCCCCAAACTTTTACAAAACAGGCTATTGAGCATATTTATTTATGAGAACACGCAGTACTTCACATATGCCCAGCTTCCTGAGCGTATGTGACATTACAGAATATTAATATGCCTGAGGAGGGATTTAACCATCCAATTATTCTTAATTATACTATATGCCCTCCAAATGTTCTGGTATCTCAAGTCTACTACTTCTGATACATCACACCCAAGTAAATTTATGTTGTGTTGAGGGTCTACTGTGCATTTGAATCCACACTGCATGTTAAGAAACCCCTTAAAACACCATTTGAAGTACATTAGAAGCAAATATTTTTTGCATGCATGGATTTGAAGCAGATAGCTGAAATAACCTTGTTCAACTGCAAAACAGAATGCCTCTACTTTTGAAATTCTTGGAACAATAAATACCTCAGCTGAGTTCTGAAAAGAACTCCTCTTGACCCAGACTGTTAAAAACCAGAAGAAAATCCTAACACAGGTAACATCTAAACTGTTATTCTTGTTGGTGATTACTGTCCCTGTCACACAGCTCGATCTTCTTCTACCCCCAACCCTGTATCATGCTACCTATTAAAGGAGAAAAAGGTCTGTGTGGAGTTTTTTCTCATGAAACTGTGATAAATACCTTTTTCCCTTGAAAATCATATTCTGAGTGATTTGTAGTATTCCTCACCCCCTTAATATCTGTATTCAGATAAATGTAAATGTATTTGTCAACTAAGGAAAGTCCTGAAAGGAATCACATCAGAAATAGACAAGGTAAGTAAGTAATGTATCGCATCTTCCAAGGTCCAGAATAAAGTATTTCCAGCTTCACAAGAAAAAGCTCTCCATAATGGAAAAAAGTCACACAGACTGTGGCTGCATAAGCAGTCACAGCTGCTTTGCCCAAGGAGTTAGTGACTCTTGTAAACTCAGAGAAAAGTTCATCTCTACTGTCAAAGCAGCTCATACCTCCCACAAGACCATTCATAACACCTCTCCAAAAAAAGTGCCAACACATCCTGCCACCTCACTTGGCTTCATGTTGTAAACAAGAAATCCAGTGCAGCACAAGGTGGCATCTCCCAGTGACTTGTTGCTACAAGCCCACCCTTCTGCCAGCCAAGCCCTAGCAAAATAGGAGTCTCTTAGGGGCCTAATAATGGGGGTTAACATCTAAAATTGAGTCCTCCCAGCCTGCACAAAACTGTCCCAAGCCCCACAGCACTTTTTATGTAATGCAACCCTTAGTAATCACCAGGAAGAAGATAAATTAGGATGAATTTGAGACAGACACAGTCTCTACTGAACAGATAACCACCATCAGCCCCATCCAAACTGGATAGAAGTACCAATTATTCTTTTTAAACAGGAATAAAAACCAGGTCAGAGCTGTTTCCATAGACCTGCTACAGAGGTGTCCCACACACAGCTTTGGACAGGGAAAAAATGTCAGGCAATAAACATTGGCCATTTTTGTAGGGGCTGTACAAAATCTGCTGTACAAAAGAGTCACTGCCAAGCAGAGAACCAAATAAAGCATCTGTGTGTTCTCCTGTACAGTAAACGTGACCAGAGCATACTTTGCTTGGCTCAAAGAAAAACACACCATACAAAAGGTTTTGCAGCTTGCTCTCTACTTCCAAGTTTCATTTACAAATGTCACAGTCGGAACAAGTGTTGGCAACAAGAGCAACACTGCTAAAAGACTAATCAGTGCTGGAAACCAGCCCAACCTTAAGACGCAAGAGCCCGAGGCAGGGCTACTCATCTGTTAACTCCTCCTGCAACTCCATGTTTAAAATGGATTCCCTGGAAATCAGGCAGCATCAGCACATTCTGAAGGCACAGATGCCATCTAGTGGGACAGGACTGGCAGCCTCACAGGGGAGTTACAAAACTAAATCAGATTTTGCCAAAAGGATGTATGTAAAAACCCTCAGAAGGGAAGGACTTATAAACATCTCCAGAACATGTTACAAACACATCAGTTTGTGGCCACAGGTGCATGAAGTGACTGCAAAAAACCACCATTACAATTTAAGGTTTCTTCAGCTATTATTGCTATTTTTAGTTAAAGGTTTAATACACAGGGTTTACACAGTAGCTGTTAAAAATAACACTCACTCCAGGAAAATGCTCACTTCAATAACAAGGGTGTCACACTAAAATGCCATTCAGTAAGGGTGGGATACCAGGGAAATATGTCATTCCAATACAAAAAATAGACCTGGCAGCCAAGCCTCACATTAGATTTGAACAATTTAATAGCAGTAAGTGGAAAGGAGGAAGAGACAACTTTTGAGCCAAGTAATACTGTGGCTGGAAACATGCACTGCAGATCTTGCCACCATTGAAAAGCTGATAAAGCAGGTTAAAGGACAACCTGACACTGCCCAAGTATTTAAAAACACTACTGATTTTAGCAACAAGATTTCAGGAAGGCGTTCCCGAGTTTTGATATGGGCCACAAGTTAACAATACTTATTACACAAATTGCACGCTCAATACTGATGAATTGGAACAAAAGTCATAAAAAACTTTGATTTCTATTAGATTTTGTTAACTATCAGAGATCTGGGAGTGACTGGGATCCAGAAGAATGACTGAAGCTGTGAGGCTATCACAGCAGGAGTGCACAAAAGCTGATGTTGAGGGCAGAAAGAACACACCAAGCTGCAGCCCCATGTCTCTGATCTGCTTTACAAGCACACCAGAAGCAGTTCCTCAGGGAAAGTTAGCAAAATTGAGTTTAACAATCTATCAACACTGGAAACAGTGCTGGAGAATGTATTCATTTTAAAATATCACAGCAGCCTTAAAAACTGTTATTAGCAACAAAAAGCCCCATTTTGGCTAAAGAAACTAATGCACAGAATAGGTCAATCAATCTCACAGAAGCTGGCAGGGATGGGAAAGCACCCTTCTCCTATCCAGATCTACCAAACAGCAGCACTAATCAGTGGGACAAGAACATGTAATGGGAAGAGATGCCATTTGGCATCATCAAAGCTAATTATGGAAGCTGAAAAACAGAGTCTGGAAAAGGTACCATAAACATGGATCATAGTATAGAATTGCAATTGATTGATTTTGATTTTTCTTTTTTGTTAACTTTTCCTTATTTTCACATTAAAGAATCTAACATTTTGAATTGCTGGAATACAATTCTGACTCCTCCTATAGGCTTATTCAGAGGCAAATGCCACAGCTTTTTTACTGTAGACCACCTACTCAGGAACAGTGAATGTGAGCCAAATGGCATCACAGGTAAGACCCATGCCCACCTGCAACATGGGACAGCTTCAGAATTAGCTCTGGAGCTAAACACAAAGCAAAGCAGGACATCTGGTGAAGAAAGGCTCCTGCTAGCAGGCCTAAACCAGTGCCATTTTGGAAAAGCAGCAGCTGATGGAAAAACAATCCTTGTGGACTTGCTCCTCAGAGCAATTTGCATCAATACACAGAAAAGCTCAATTTTTGTAAGCTCTTGACTTGCCTTGGTAATGCTGAAGCAGTCTGTTCATCCTGACATCCCACAGCTTCACCGTGTTGTCCGTACTGCCCGCAGCAATGCAGTGACCGCTGGGATGGAATTCCACGTGGTTCACAAACCTGCCAATGGCAACCAGACCCAACTGCTTACCTGCAACTCCTGCTGAAGATCAAAAGCCTTTACAACAAGGGAAGCTAAATCATGACTCACTGAATGTTAAAGAAAGGATGAGATAACCTGAAAATTTATTTTGCTGAATTCCTCTTGAGACCTTGCTTCTAACCCCAGCCAGACTGCAGGCTCCTACCTAAGCACACCTTCAGGAGTTCACATTACAGGTGTAGGAGCTGTAGACGCAAACCTCCCGAAATCTGATGGATCCAACTGTCACAACAACATTTTCAAGTCTTCATTTAATGTTTGCATAATATGTCTTCTATTAAATTATTTGCAGAGTGATGTGTACAAGACTGAACAGAGACTTTTCTTCTGTTAATTAAATTTAAGATGTGACTTTGTGCCTGAAATCATATGTTGCCACTTGGAAAATAGCAAGGCTGAGGGCAAATTTCTTTCTGGACCTGAATCCAATCAATTTTTAGTTTGAATACATAAGTACAAGAAAAGCTTCAGACCCTTCAGGGAAAGATACCTTGTAACTATGCACCAAACAAACTGGATAAATTTAATTATCTTTTGAGTATTGTTGTAGCAAGTACTGAAAAAGTTGAGATATTTGAATAGGCTGTGGACAAGACACATACTTAAGAGCACTGAAAAAAGTAATGTCTGAATTTGTCTTATTACCATTGTATATTACCTAGAAAGAACATCATATTGCACTAGAAATTCAGTGCAGCAATTAACTAGGTAGACTCCAGTCTCAGTTCTCTGAGGACTTGTTTTATGTTACTGGGTAAAATTATCTTTTGCTGTGGCTCAACATTTCAAGTTAAACAGCTATTTTTCTGAATGCAAAGTGGGGGTTTTGAATAACTTAATTATTTAAAAACTTGAAGATGAATCAAAGCATCCAAGTGCCATTCTGTCAGTAGACTTTTGCATTTTTGATTTACATCAACTCAGAGCAAAATAAAAGAAGAAATATGGAATTTAAGCATCTCAAAAAATAAACAAGCACAAACAAACTGAGGCTTGATGTGCTGGAGCAGTCAAAGGGGCCAGGGCAATTCTGGACTGGGATCTCACACTGGCTACTTTTGTAAGAGGTGCTAATGTTTTTTTAAGCAGTTTTATAATTTCCAGGACGGGGACCCCTGAATCTCACAAACCCGGTGTAGAACCCCACGTCAGACATTACCACCAGGTACTTACCCTCCATGCTCACAGAAGGAGTGGATACATTCTCTGCTGTTTTTGTCCCACAGCTTGACAGTTTTATCATCACTGGATGACACTATCAATCGTCCATCAGGAGAGAATCTAAGGCAAGAGTTACAGCAATTAAGAAAAGCCCTCAAATGAAAGGAGTACAGGGTCGGCTGAATTTGGCCAGGTGTCAAAGTATGTTGGTAAACACACCTAGCTTTTCAAGAAGTCACAGAGGCATCAGTGAGACTCAAAATCCAATTGCTAAGTTGAGGGAAAAGAAAGCAAGCCCTAAGTACTCAAACTACCCCTAATTCTGCAAGCATATAAAATAACCCTGAGGAAAATCCTGAGTTTGACTTAAGATCTTGTGTCTTACTTGTTTCAATTCAAGCCTATCTCAAGTTGTTTCTCTGCCCCGATTCAAAACAATTCCTGCCTTTGCCACAAGAGTTCAGAGCAATACAGTCACAAGAAAAGAGATGCAGCAGAGACTTCAGTATTTTAGTGCCTTAGGAGAATATATTAAGTTCCCATCTCAAAAATAACATATACATGACAGATCCAGATCTCTCTTCACAGGAATACACATTACAGAATCAGGACCTGAGTCCCTAACTACAGATCATCAGACATACTGGAAAACATCCTTTCTGCTCTTCTATGAACATCCATAGTGCTACCAGCCACTGCCACCACCACGTTCCATGAACTGTAATGAACTTTTCATCTACAGAGGAACCACGGCTTTATCCTAGGTACATGTATGCATAAATAACTCCTTGAAACCAAATCTTAAACAGTTATCATGAAATAATGCCATTATCATGGCAGCACTTAACATGTTTTGGACGTAGCATGAATGATCCTTTTAACAAGGGGCATGGCAAGTCTAAAGAAACTAAGCTGAAATAACAGCAGAAACCTCTCCATTTTTTCTATTAGCAACCTCAAGACACAGAATTCTCCTTACCAGGTAAAAATAAAACAAACCACAAAGCAGGAAAGCCTCTGCTTGACAGAGGTTACTGGAGAAACACAAAGTGGGTGCAGACTACTGCTCAAAGGATGTCTGCAGGTCAGCAATAAATTTCAGTTAGTAGTCACACCTGAATAGAAATGTGTTGCACTAGACCATGACATTGAGCCTCTGCTTTGAGGGATAAATCTCCATCTCTGCTTGTCAAGAGGGCCATACTCACCTGGCACAGCGAACCCAATTGATGTGCTGACTCAGTGAGAACAGAAACTTCTGCCTGTGAACCGTCCACACTTTGATTGTTTTGTCATCAGAAGCTGTAACTAAGGACTGGCCATCGCTGGAGAAATGAACACTTCTCACGGTTGCTGTGTGAGCCTTGAACACAGTCGATTCTCCTTTGCTACACAAAAGGAAAGAGCTCTTTAAAACTGCACAAAGGGCAGCAAAGGCATTCTGTACCTGAAAACACAGACCTGCTGTATGCCGAGCAGTGCTAGTAACCATCACGGGAACTGCGTGTGACCACATTAGGATAAAAACATTGATCAACCCCAATCTTGCTCATGCTTCATGAGCAGTACAGAATACACAGCTAAAACCAGTTGTTCCAGTTCCATATTGGAGGCCAATCCAACAGTAAACAACCCATGTTTCCTACAAAAGGGAAAAAATGCCACAGCTAATTTGTGCAACCATTTAAACACTTACAGAAAGATCAATGTAAAAGAAGACACTGAGGTTCTGCACTCTTGCCAGGTCCTTTGCTGCAAAGCAGGCAAGGAGAGAAGTGTTTTCATAGCTCATAGAAACAGAGCCAAGCAGGCAACGACCTCACAACTGCTCCTGTAATGGCCCATGCTCCAGGTGGCCATTCCAGTGCCACATCACACAAGAAACAACACCACTGAATTCAGCACACCTGATGCTGTACAGCTGTGAGCAAACTGCCATTAACTCAGCCAGGCAAGACAATTCAAATGTGCTCATTTTTCTTGACACATAATTTCCAAATAAATGCAAGATGCATTTTTCTGGTAAATAAAGGCAAGGCATATTTAGAGATCCAAAGATCCAACAGGTTTATGGAACTCTCAGTCCAAAATCTGTTTCCAGCACATACTATAGCACCAGGAGCTCCACATCCACAGATTGAAGAGAAGGCAAAGACACGGTGGTTCTCCTTTCCCTCAAACATATCCCTGTCCCATAGCCAGAGAACTGCTACAAAGCAGTACAGAGAAATTCCAAGCCATAGTTAAACACCAAGAGAGGCAGAAGGGAATAGGTACTCACACACTAGGGATCCACAAACGGACTGTTTTATCTCTAGAGCCTGAAGCCACAAGGTGACCAGAAGGTGAGAACTGGACACACAAAACTGCATCTTTGTGGCCCAAGAAGCGAAAGGCTCTCATCTGAGGCTTCATACTCCAGATCATCAGGCACGAATCCATTGAGCCACTTACTGAAATAAAAAATGAAAAACAAAACTACATACAACCAAACCTGCATTTGCTCTCCTCCAATTGCACTAAAACTACATTTCACAGCAAGCTCTCCATCATAGCTTCCAGCAGTCTCAATACATTGCCCTTGAAGCTTCACCAGTCTATTGCAAGCTGTGTATTTCATTATTGTTATGTATATAATTTAATCAACAATTCAAACAAAACAAGGCCAGCCATTAATTACTTTGGACTGACAATTTAATTTCAAGAGGCCAGCCATGCAAGAGCTGCAGAGGCAGAAGCCACACAGGTTGCAAATCTTCCACACACTCAGGGAAACCAAGGTTATCTCATCACTTTCTTATTGGCAGCTGCAGTAGGTTAAATGTCACTTCAGATCAAGCAGAGAAGACCAGTGAGTTGGTGACTTAAAAGTACCCTGGCTACACCTCCCTCCAACACCTCTCCCTTCTCCCTTGTGGCAAAACATTGATCAAAGTCAGCTCAGCAGTTCTTCACAACATACTAAAAACAGAAGCTTGCAAGGTGAGTGGAGCAGTGTTCAATTTGCTGTTAGCCAGAAGCAAGAGCAGGACCTTTTGCTGTTGCAGAGCTCAGTTCCCTCCGCTGCTCCCCCATCTATCTAAAGCAGAACAGCTCTTTCTTTATCCTCTGGCCATCAAAACACAGACAATTTACCCAATTGTTTCTTAGCACGACTGAAGTCCACACTAGTGACAGCATCTCTGTGGCCTTTGAAGTGCTTCTCCAGGGATGGATCTTCCTAGAAGACAAGAGTGTTCAGACACTACAGATTTAGAGAACCATCTTTGTGAAATAAAATAATTTTATTTCTACAAGAAGTGAACCATAAATTTTAAAAGAAGCAGTTATCCAAGCTGTTATTAGCTTGGATCTTGAGTGACTGCACAAATCCTTCATGCATTTTTACAACATGCAGCTGGCACAGAGGCTCTAAAGCTGACTGCAGAACAGATAAGCCACGTCCATGATCACCTGAGCAGGCAGCCAAGCTCAGCTTTGCGCTGACAGGTCTCATCTCAGCTCAGGTGTAGCCAAGAGGCCACTACTTGCACAGAAGAGGCAAACTCACAATATTTAACACACCTTTGAAACAGGCAGGACGAATGAGAATTGCAGCAAAACAGACTGACACATAACCACTCCCACAGCACCTTGCTGCAAAGGCTAACAAAAGCCGGAGGTCAGGCAAAAAAAACAAAGACCTGAGAGAACTATCACAAGAGGTTTTAACACTTGAAAATTGTTCAGGACAGGCTGACCAGCTTTCAATCCTTGTTTTCACACACACCGTCACTGCCTCACTGGCAACCCTCACCACAGCCTTTTAACCAGAGCCCCCTGCTCAGACCAGCCCCCAGCCCCAGAGCGGGGCAGCGCTCCCGCTCAGCACCGGCCCCGGCCCTCCGCAGATCCAGAACCGCTCCCCACAAACACAGACCAACCCCGGCTGCAGCAGCCCCCCAGACCCAGGGCTACCCCAGCATTAACCTCCTCGAGCCCCTCTGTGGGCACGATGCCAGCCCACAGCAGCGCTGCCTCCACCGCCACCCCCACAGCACCAGCCCTGCCTCCCCCTTTCACTCTTCCCTCCCGGCTCGGACACAGGGGCTAACACCGCCGCCCCCCCGCTCGGCGGCAGTCCCCGCAGCAGGGCGGCAGGCCCGGGCCCCACACGGGCTGTTCTGTTCCGGGCTGTTCCGCTCCGGCCGCGCTCACCTCGCACAGGGCGGCCATGACGCCCCGCGGCCGCCGTTCGGTTCCCGCGCCGCGCGCGCCCCGTAGCAACGGCCCCGCCCTGCCAGGGGCGGGCCCGGCCTGAGGGCGGCGCGGCGGCAGCGGGCGGCCGCGAGCCGCTGAGGGCCGGGAGCGGGCTCGTGTGGGCACGGCCGGCCCGGGAGCCGCTGAGGGCCGGGAGCGGGCTCGTGTGGGCACGGCCGGCCCGGGAGCGGGCTCGTCTGAGCGCGGCCGGCCCGGGAGCGGGCTCGTCTGAGCGCGGCCGGCCCGGCAGGGCCTCAGGACGCTGGGGAAAGCCCCTCCATAAAGCCCCTGCGGCGCTGTTACAGCAGTTCTCCTGGCAGGCTGGGTGCCCTCCCTGGGCAGCCCGGTCAGTGCCGACCACCGCGCTGCTTTGTCTCAGGGCTGCTGTGGGGCCGAGCGGCTCCAGAGCCTGGTGGGGGCGGTCCCCGGATCGGAGCCAGGGGAGCAGCACAAACCCCTGCTCTCTAGGGCTAAGAGGCCGGGTCACTTGCAATGGTTCAGCTAGTGGGAGATCAGTAGCTTCTGCTTGGTCTGTGAGAGTTGAAAATAGGAACTCACCCAGGGGTTTTGCAAAGAGCACAGGACAACTGAGAAGGGTTTATTCTTCCAGTGGTTTAATACCAACTCAAATCTATTAATTCCAACTCCATTTCATTCATCTCTACCTAGGAACACTATTAATTAGACACTATGGACTGCACACTGACTGCTCTCTAAGGGGTGCCTGTGTGAAGCCCAGATCTGCCTCTTCATGAAGCTTGGGTTCACCCTCTGAGCTTCTAAAGGGGCCTTTCCTCCATCACTTCAGCATCCATGCCCCTTCCTTTAAGGACACCTCTCCTCTTGCACGTTTCTGACAGCCAGGGATGTGCTCTGTTGAAGCTGGGGTTATAGTAGTAGAGGATCTAAAACAGGCAAAGGAGAAGAGTTAGTTGCCACCATCTCCCCAGTTACGCAAATTGCAGCAGGGGATTATGTACTCTGAGGGCCAGGTAGAACTAAAACTTGTGATGGTTGTGTTCAGGCCCCTGGGTTTTGCCTCCTGAGAGCAGAGCAGTGTAGGATTTTCAAAAGCAGAACAACTGTTTTTGAAAACCAAATACCACTGTTCTCTGCAGCTTCATTGCAGATGTAGCGGGCAGGTAATCTTGGTCCTTTGATGTATCTGTTGGCATTGGGCAAGTGCCACAGGAAGGTTTCAGATTTGATACAGCAAGACATGGAGTAAAGACATTAAGAGAAATCAGGTTGTGCTGAGCCTGTCTGTGCCTTTGGTGGGTTCAAACTCAGTATCCAAATTCACTCACCAAAATGTATCTTATCTGCATTTCTACTAGTCAGAAAGATTCACTCAAACCTGCCTGAGCACAGTCTTAAGAAGGAATAAAAAACAGACCACTCGCTCCCATTCCTATCCCCTCCACCACAGAATCACACACTGTCTTGGGTTGGAAGGGATGGGGCATCCACAATCTCTCTGGGCAACCTGGGCCTCACCACACTCACAGGGAAGGATTTCTTCCCAACATCTAAACCTGGCCTCTTTCACTCTACAACCGCTGTTCCTTGTCCTGTCACTCTCTGCCTGCACAAAAAGTCCCTCTCTCTCATTTTTATAAGCCCCCTTATAAAAAGTGGCTTCTTTTCAACCTGCAAATGGTCCTCTATGAGGAGGCCTTATTTGTTGTGAAGGTCCCTCTCCTCCCCACCCCAGATTAACACAAGCATTAGTAGCTGTGCAGAGCAGCTGCTGTACCTGGCTGTGAGCAGAAGCTGCTGCTTCCTCTGCCAGGAATTCGGGCAGGGAGGCAGATCTTTGGAAATTCCACTGCATTTTGGTGAATCCATATGCATTCAGCTGTCGAATGAAACTTTTAATTTTTTGTGTGTGGAAGACCCGCTGTCCTTCTCTACCCAGCACCTCCACTTCAAAGAGGTCTTTGTTGATGGCCACACATTTTCCACTCTCACTCCACCAAATTGACTGAAACTTGCCACTTTCCAGCATTTTCCAAAGCTTCTGTGGAAAGCGCAGGGATGAGAAATCTCGCTCCATGGCCATTGCCCTGGACAGCTTGGCTGTGTCCCACCAGCTGCAGGTAAAGACCAACTGGCACCAACAGACAGCAGGTTCCAGTGGAATGTTCTGGCATGTTACTGTGGTGCCTGTGCTGTGGGGACATTGCAGGTGACATCTCAGTGATGGCTGGCAGTGGTGCCCTGGCAGGGGGAGCAGAAACTGCTGAAGGGAACTTGTTGCTTCTCTGTCCCAGAGCCAGCAGTGGTGGGATCCAGAGCCCAGCAGTGTCCACAGAGCTGTCCTGAGGGGCTGTGGGCAGGGAGAGGCCTGGGCCGTGTCTGGCTGCACCAGGGAGGAGCTGCAGGGATGGCTGCAGCCTTGGGCATGCCAGGGCCCTGTCTGGGGAGCTTCTGGCTGGGCCCCTCTGACACCTGCAGAAATGTGGCTCCTGGATCCCTGCAATGCAGAAACAGCAGCGCAAGCATGGAGAATCCTTTTCATTACATCTACCCCAGAGCAGCAGGGATTCATTTATGTCAACCCATTGTCTTTGCAAACTTCTCAAATAGGATTGCACATTTTTTATCTAGTGGGTTTAAAACTAGCTGGGAGAGGTGGACCAGGGGGCACACTTGCTTCACTCCTGGCATGAGACCCAAAAGCAGTAATTTCCATTCCATCCATGAATGACCCAGCAATCAGGCTGGGGGAACAAAGCCCAGGCCCTCGCTCAAGCTGGTCAAGAGATGTTCTGGTTTACTTTATCTGAATCACTCCTGCTTTGTTCATAAATGCAGAGCCATGAACACAGTTCCATGAATTGGACTTCTCAGGGAAGCCATCCCTCCTTCTCCCTGATCACTGCCTTCCTGCAGCAGACAGTCTGCTGGTTCAGGGGTGTTTGTGTGCCTGAAAAGCTCTTCATTCTTCCCTGCCCTTTGAGGTACTGCATCTGAAGAGATACATTCCTCCCTCAGACATGGCCTTTCTGCCCACATAGCTATGGATTTTGGATCTGGAAGTCTGAAGTGGTTTCTAGCATGGCCTGACCTGTTCCTCATTACATTATTTGGCATTTGAGTATTAGCTTTTCTTTCTCTGTACTGAAATAAAAAAAGAAGATATACATAATGCTAAATATGCCTGAGATCTGAAAGAATCCATTTTAGAGAAATAAAAAACGAGAAACATGTTGTAATTGCATTCCCACTTATAAAAGGAGGAAATTGGTACATTTGCTTTAATTGAAGGATTCCACCACCCAAAAAAAACACCCCAAGCTGCCTTCTAGATAATACACAAGCAGCATCTATAGTGGCCATACTTTGCTTACCTCAGCCCTGGGGTGGCACTGTGTAACACCAACAGCCAGAGGTGACAGCAGATCATTGGCATGACACTCTCACCTGTGGGAGTTCAGAGCAAATGTCAAAAGAGAAAGAATTAAAGAAAATTCACGTCAAGAGGGAAAAAAAGGGGCCCTTGGGAGCAACAAGCACACACTGGGTCCAGCGGTGGAGTTGGTAGCCTTGAATAGCCCCGTTCAGCCATGCTTGTGGGTTGTTGCCCCGGGCTCGGCAGGACGGGCAGGCGGGGGGGCCCTGCGCTGTCCCCTGGTGTCACCTGCGGGTGGCCACCGGGGGGCAGGCGGGGCCGCAGGCAGCCCGCCTGCATAGAGGGACAAGCCCGGGAAAGCGGGATGAAATGCAGCCCGGCTTCACTGGAGATCCATCAGGCCCATCTAGGCAGCTCTTTTAGGGAGAATACCGCGAGTCTGGGTGATAAAAGCGCTGAGCTTGCCTCTTTCAAATGCCGCTTCCCAGCCTGCCACCTAGCATTATCTTAGCTAGTCCTTCCCTGGGCTTATTTGTGTCACAGTGAATCAGAAAGAGACCAGAAGCCCCAGGATCTGCCCCCTCTGTCACATCGACAGAGCCTTGCACGGGCAGCCCTGCCAAAGCTGTGATTTTTGCATGCTGCAAAAGCTATTGCAGAGCATCAGACACACCCAGAATCCAGGTGAGTTGTTCTTGTATGAAATTACAGTTAACCTTTGACTTCAGGCCCAATTCATAAAACCCTGGATTTCTCTCTAGAGTGCGTGAGTCTAAGTTTAGCAACTAAATGTTTACCAATTCTATACAGCAAACCCCAGTTCTCGCATGTCCTGTTAATACTTAAACTGCTGAGCATACCAGTCTCTACTTGTACCTTTGCAGTTCTAAGAATATTCCAAAAGACAGTGTGCAAAACTTCAGAAAGCTACCATGAGACGTTTTCTGAAAAAGCTGAAGTTCTCAACACAACTATTGGTGGGAAGAAGTACTTTGCCATCTGCAAAGGAAGCTCCAAGAGGCATGGAGTTGGTGAATGCAATGTGCACACACTAAAATGGAACCAGCACGTACACCCAGGTCTCCCAGTTGCTAACAGCACTCTCACAACAAGGTCATCCTGTCCCCATGATCCCCACGATCCCAGCATGGCTTCTTCACGGCTGTTTGTTCCCATCCCAATACATCCTGGGATGGAGGCAGTGGCATTGGGCAGGAACCCTGCAATGCTATGGCACAGGTTGAAATGACCATCTGAGGTGTGTGACAGCCACCTTGGTGTTGGCGTTTTGCATCCAGAGAGCACAGCAGGGACTTGGGCAGCCCAAGCACACAGCTACAAGGAGCCAAAGAATGTAGATGAAGATTCATAGCACAGAGGGTTGTTGTCCACCCTCTTTTGCTGCTGCTGTGGAAGGGGGCAGCTACAGACAGGTTAGACACCACAGAAGGGAGCAGACCTACTGCACAGCTCAGCTGATGGCAGTGAAATGTCCCATTGTTTCCATGGGGAGAGGCTGCTTTATATCAGCTGAAGATGTAGCTTGCTGCCACATCAGTTATTTTTTCTCTTACTAATGACTTTGTCCTCCCCTGTGTGGCAAACCTGTTTATTTGTAGCCCACATTTCTTTTCCCACCTGCCTTTGTGCTTATTACCCTTCCTCACAGAGTTAAGAGAAAGACAGAAGGAAAAAAA